TGTCCAGGGAAGCTGGGCAGTCTCCATCCTTGGAGGGGCTCAGAACCCTGCTGGAAAAAGGTCTGAAGCTTCAAGTACTGCACAGTATCTGCACAGGCCACCATCACTTTGGGATTAGGATTCATGCTTRTGAATGAAAATCACCAGTTCCCTCATCCTTTGTGCACTCCTAGGATCAAGGGGGTTTTACATACTGTGTGGTGCTGTGCCAGCAGCTCCATGACTGTGCAAAATTCTGTGCCTGATGTGGGTACTGCAATGCTTTTCCTTAATTCCCTAGCATCTGAGACATTCAATATATCAAAAGAGACAAGCAGCATGCTTTCCTCTTTTTCCAATCTGTGTGTGAGGCAGGGAGAAGACAYTGGGAGGAGCCAGCATTGCATCTTCTGTCACCATTGCTTCACTCCTTGTTCCAGGCTTGTTCTCAGCCTAGRGCAAACCTTGGACTCAGCAGGGTTTGTTTAACTGCCCTTTACTGCAAGCAGGCAGTCACACAGGACCTGGAGTGCTCTGCTGGGTGGCTCTGCAGCCTGCTAGCTGCAGTGGGATGGATGAACTGACAGGGCCAGAGCTTTCTGTGTCCCAAAGTCAGTGTAACTTTCTCCTTTTGGGGGGGCCTGTCTGTTAGATGGGGGAGCTCAGAGTTTCTTCACAAGCTTTTAGCTTCCTAAGATACACTTAGGAGAGGGGGTCCAAGGGAAGAAGGATGCAGCYCTGTGTCTCCTCCTGTTCCCTGGGGGGCTTGAGCCTGCCACTGCAAACCCTAAACCAGGCATCTGCACAAATGCTGCTCCAGGGCTCTGGTCTGGGGGCCTGACACGAATTCCCTGGCAGAGGGTCAACAAGCAGGATTTTTTTAAGGAAAGGWGGACATGTCTTAGGCTGAGCTTGTGGCTTAATGTGTGGCAGCAGTGACAGCCTAAACCAGCAGGCTCACAGCCCTCCTATTCCAGCTCCTGCTAGAGTTGTCTGTGTCTGWGCTGTGTCAATTCCTCTGCCAAGTTACAAGTCGTAACCAGCCCAAAAGAAGATAAAGCAGAGACTAGGATAATCCCAGGACTAGGAGCCAGACAGATGCTCAACTCGAGTCTAGTGACACAAAAATTAAGAGAATAAGAAAGAAAGGGAAAATGAAACAATAGAGGCTTAGGAAACAATAGATACCAAGGTATCCTATCAACTTCAGGAATGAAAGTAATGTGTACATAGGATCCTAGAATTGTAGAATGGTTTGGGTCGGAAGGGACCTTAAAGATCATCTAGTTCCAAACGCCCTGCCATGGACAGGAAGGTCATTCACTAGATCAGAGCCCCATCCAACCTGACCTGGAACTCTTACAGGGATGGGCACCCACAGGTGCAGAACAGAGCAAAATCCAAGCACATTTTACTTCTAGCAGTATCCTATTCCTCTGTTAGAGCACACTGCCTTGTCCTCCAAATCTTGTCCCATTTAATTTGCAGGCACCACAGCTACCACAAACCCATCATTTTGAAACCCACAAATGCAAGGCTGAAGCTTTGATGCCCTTGAATAAATTACTGCATAGCCACAAGAGGCATAAAACTGCAGCAGCTTTTAGGCAGGATTGTCTGTTCACCGGCTTCTGGGTCACTTACTGCCTTCTAATTCAGTTTAAAGCATCCAAGATTCTGTCTTATGTGAGCTGTGAAGGCAGCAGTGACGTGAGCAGCACCAAACAATGAATTAAGGTGCTGGAAACATAATGGAGGATGGTGCCAAGATCTGCCCTTTAGGGCACACTGATTCAGAGGTCACAACAGTGTCACATTGTGATGTGCAGGAACAGATCAACACCCTCATCTTCCATCAGGAACCAGCGCATGATCATACAAATATCTAATGAACATAACAGCTTCACATAAGGTTTAAAAGAAGTTCTACTGGCATTACTGCACAGCAGAGGGGCACTTCTGATGATCTTCTGCAAATCATTCTCAATGGATCTAAACGAAGACCAATTTTCATTAGTCCAGATTCACAGTGCTACCCTACAGCTACAGCTTTGCTTTTTATCTCCATCCTCTCCCCATGCATGCTAGAGAATCCAGGGAAGATTCAGATCCTTGGTAACAGAGGGTCATCCAAGAAAAGGTCTGTGCCTAGCAAATCCTGCTGGCTCATGGTTGGTGACTGCCAGCACCGTGCTGGTTTGCTATGCAGGCATGAAGACTCCCTCATAGGAATGACAAACAACTGTATGAATGTCATTTTTGTGAAGGGCACCTGAAGAGGCTGGAGAATGGCATTAAAAATAAGTCTAGAAATAGGCACTCAAGGCAAAACAATGGCATTAAGTAGCAAACCCCAAACCCTTCTATCTGATTTGATTTGGTACTAAAACCAAGGGTAAATGTTCTGTTTCAAAGAAAGGAGCCAGCCTGGTTTTGATCAGCAAGTTATTACTGGCAGTCCTTAGCACTGTGTTAGCTGGAAGCTTCAGGCCATCTAATGGCACAAAAATGCAAATCGAGTTCTCTACACAAAAGAGTGCAAACTTCAGCAAAAGTKATCCATGGTCTTAAGTCTTTTCCAGGCATGGAGCTCTGAGAACACGGGAAGTGGGGGAGGATAGCTGAAGAAAAAGAGAAAGCCTTAGGACCAAAGTGGGGAGGAGACAGCAGGAAAACAAAAATGAGAAAGGGAAAACAGCAGCAGAGAACGAACTGAGAATGATAAGCTAAAGATTATAAAAATACTGTTATGGTGTCACTTGTCCAGTGTCAGTCTGCTTTTCCAGATAACCTGGGGCAAGCT